TAAATATTAATGCTTCATCAAAGCAAGCATACTTGTCGACTTGTATATATTATTTTCAGTTAATTTATGGGTTATTGTAATTTTATTATTAAGTATTAGAGAACATTCAATTTGGGCAGACAAAAGAGACAAAAAAACTAAATTTTTGAAAATAATTATTTTAGAAAAAAAATCGGGAAGCAAGGTGAAAATCCGGGACTTGCGGTCACTTAAGACATACAAATGTATAATTGATTTACAAGATGAAAATACTAAATCGTTTATCTACTTCATATTGCTATTAAAAAGCAATAACTCTTGAACAGGCTCTTATCATTGAATTTATAGATAGCTCTTTCTGTTGCTTGTCAAAATTTGTGTGAATATTTGTTATGAAACAATTACTTTGCTTATCTTCAAGCACAAAACATTTTGTTAGCAAGATATCTTTTTGTTTTATATGGGAAATCAAAAAAATCATTAAAATCGATGATGGTGGTTTTTAATGACTTCGATTAATACGAACGTTAAAGTTTTATATAATTATTGGCCTTGAAGCATGTGTATGATTTACAGGTAAATATTAATTTTGCTTCTGCATTTTAAACTAAAGCTTTGTTCAACAGAATAAAAAAAATTACTTGCTTGAAATAATGCTCTAACAAAAAACAGCTATCTACAAACACAAAGAAAAAAAACAATATTTGGATAATACAAAAAAATACACAGTCTTTATGCTAATTAAAAATTAGTCTAATAAATGCACTTCGTTTGCATTAATATTGACTATTTGATTTTAAATTGTATAATTGTTTTATTCTTAATATTTAAAATGTTGAAAAATAATTATTTTCGAAACTTTCATTTTAAAGTTTTCAGGTTATTTTATTTTTCAATGTTTATGTTTCTAAAACTTTTTAGATAATGATTTTCTAAAAACAAATTTTTCCTTGAACGAACATTTCAGTATTTGGGTGTTTGCCCATTACTCTTCATAATTGAACATGTTCGCACGTAATTTGAACATGTTCGCACAAATTTTTGAGTATAGTTTAGTTAAACAATAAATAAATGCACAGAGTTTTGATTGCTAACAATAACAACAATAGTTTAATTTGACACAGACTTTAATCAATAGTGTTTTTCTTATGTATTACTATAAGACCTTCTGGCAAAATATCAAGATTGACCGTCTTTTCGTGAACACACATTAAAGTATGTATTATTAGATACAACGATACGAATAGTAGTATTTTTCTGGGCACTTAGTTTTGCTTAATATGTTGTTTGAAGAAGTAAAATTTTATTAATGTTCAAAATGTGATAAGTAATTTTTAAGTTTAGGTGTTATATATATATTTCGTGAATATTGTTTGCTTAGTTACCAATTAACCAATCGACGTAGATAACTGTGATGCATGCAATCCTACAAATTTGTTGAAAATTCAAAATATAACGAATTAGAACCATTGGAATGCTATTATCCAAACGAACATATCCTTGTAAGTAAAATATTAATTAAAGCCCAGACCAGCAACATTAAATGTTATGTTTGCGAATCGCATTATTCGAAATATATTGGCCGCAGATATATTTATTTCAAGATCAACAGTTGTGATTTTGTTAAAGTCAACGATTAATAGCAATCTTATCGAAAATTTGGTTGTTAAGACATTCAAATGAAAAAAACTATAGATTTTTTGGAAAAATCTAAATAATAAATATCATGTTTACATTCCACGGACCCTATTAACATGCTGATGATAAGATGGAGGTTGCATCTGGTAGACAACATTAACATGCTGATGATGATAAGATTTAAGTAGAGCACCTGTGGTTACTTTCTTAAAAAAATATTATTTATGTTTTTCATGTTTATGATTTATGTCTTATTTGTACTAAATATATAACTGTTGTATAATTTGTTATGAAAAAAAAAATGACAAAGAGCAGACATCTAATTTATATTACAACCCGCATTTGAATGTAACTTTCAAGAAGGATTTTATTGATATTAACTGTAAATTCATTTCTCTGGTCTTTAATAAAATCTCCATTAGCTTCACAGCATATTTCTGTTATGTTGGTGCGTAATTGAAGTATAATTGTACTCTATCTAAACGTATAGATCGATTATTATATGTTTATTACAAACAAGATTTATTCACATTATATATATATATATATATGTGTGTGTGTGCGAGTATTTCAGTGCAATAGTAATTCTAATTAGGTTCTTTCTAAATGTTTAGATCGATTTTTATTAGTTTTTTGGGTGATATTAAGTTCCTAATAGTTTTGCTTAAAATATTTTTGATAAATGTTTATAAAAAGTCAATTAGAATAAAGTTCGCAAAAAATTAATGGTGATTATTTCTGAAACCGCGTTGCTTCAGGACAGTGTTTTTCAATCGTATACTTATTTTTAATTGAATTTAATTATAGATTTTGCCTTAGTATTTATCATTGCATATGTGTTGTAACGTGATTATAATCGAATATTTTTAATAATAATTAATTCTTATTAATAATTTTTGTTAATAATTATTGTTAATTAATAATTATTGTTAGTATTTTTAATATGAAGTACGTATTTGTACTACAATATAGTAAATTTAAATTTTAAAGCATATTAACTAATAATTGTTTTCAAATAAGGTGCAAATACAGAACAATCATGTTTAAAATACTATGTTAATGTTATAGATATAATCTCTGTTTTTAATGATAATTTTGATTTATGGTCTATTGGTTTATGGTACCATAATATGCGTACTTGGATATTTATATATCTAAAGATATAGTTATGATAAAATTAGAAAAAAAAATTCCTTTTATAGTCGTTATAATATTTTTAGAACTTTTCGCAAGAGCAATTCTCATACTATATTTACTAGCTTCCAAACGTAACATAAAATATAAATAATGGTTTTACCAAATTTAGCAAAGTATTGGTTTTCTCTTTTTCTCACAATATTGTAAATTATGAGATAAATGAAACATATTTAAAATTATTTTATTAATATGATTATACTTTCTACGTAGAACTCTATCTAAGCAACATCAAACTGATCCTTTACGTTTGTTAGTATTCTCAGAACTATTTCTAATATCAGTACTCTCTGAGTAATTGGCAAAGGCGCGATTGAAACAATCATAGTCTAACAATTCAACTTCATAGACACGATTGTCTGTTAAGAAGATTTTGATAAAAATCCTGTTAAATTCCGGATTTACAGATACTCTTTAGTGGTTAGAGCTATGGGCTTTCATTCTAATTATAAGATTGCAGATTTAATACCCGTTTTGGATAGCCTGATGTCAAGTAGTAGTGAGTTAGTGACACCGGTTTTGACTTGAATATATAGATGTTAATATGTTTCCAAGTGAGAGTAAGTAGCCTATGCTTGACATTGCTGCATCAATAAGAAAAAAATAGTGCCAAAATTTCTAGCAATAAGTTTATCTAAAGAGTTATAGAGCAATCGTGAGTAGCTCTTTATAAAGCCACGTTATTAAGTAGACATCATAACAGCTTATAGGATTCTTTAAGTTTTGATTG